TATATGTGACATGGGAGGCCAGCTGTACTGTCCCACTAGATAAACGCACAAAGGCCTCTCTGTCAGAGAGGCTGGTTCATGTCTCTGAGGAAGAGGAGTGCATGAAGACATTTTGAAAGAAACAAGATTTTCACAGAAAAAATGCTGAATACAAATAAGTATTCTAAGACAAATTGGAAATTATTTGAAGAGACATGGGAAGTTATTCCTGCTGACAGACAACTGACTGAATTACCTTCTTGAGTGCATCCTTGATTTCCTGGTTCCTTATGCTGTAGATGAGGGGGTTCACAGCTGGAGGCACCACCGAGTACAGAAAGGACAACACCATGTCCAGGGGTGGGGAGGAAATGGAGGGGGGCTTCAGGTAGGCAAACATGCCAGTGCTGATAAAAAGGGAGACCACAATCAAGTGAGGGAGACACGTGGAAAAGGCTTTGTGCCGTCCCTGCTCAGAGGGGATCCTCAGCACAACTCTCAAGATCAGTATATAGGACAGCATGATCAAAACAAAACACCCAAATGCTACACAGATACTAACAAGAAGGAGCCCAACTTCCCTGATGTCAGAGTCTGAGCAGGAGAGCTTGAGGATCTGGGGGATTTCACAGAAGAACTGGTGCACAACATTGCCTTGGCAGAGGGGTAGGGAAAATGTGTTGGCAGTGTGCAGGAGAGAATAGAGCAGCCCAGTGCCCCAGGCAGCTGCTGCCATGTGGACACAAGCTCTGCTGCCCAGGAGGGTCCCGTAATGCAGGGGTTGGCAGATGGCAACGTAGCGGTCATAGGCCATGATGGTGAGAAGGGAATATTCTGCTGCAATGAAGAAAACAAAGAAAAAGACCTGTGCAGCACATCCTGCATAGGAGATGTCCCTGGTGTCCCAGAGGGAATTGGCCATGGATTTGGGGAGAGTGGTGGAGATGTAGCCCAGGTCGAGCAGGGAGAGGTTGAGGAGGAAGAAGTACATGGGGGTGTGGAGGTGGTGATCGCAGGTGATGGCTGTGATGATGAGGCCGTTGCCCAGGAGGGCAGCCAGGTAGATGCCCAGGAAGAGGTAGAAGTGCAGGAGCTGCAGCTCCCGTCTGTCTGCAAATGCCAGGAGGAGGAACTGGGTGATGGAGCTGCTGTTGGACATTTGTTCGCTGCAGGAAGGGAGGTTGAACTAGAAGACATTGACAAGTTAGGACAGACTTCTTTTATTCAATCTTATGCTGTTTCCCTAAAAGTGTCCTCAAAATTATTTCTCTTTCTTTGGGGGAAATATATTCAATTCCTTTTTATGAGCTCAGATTTGTGATGTTGCTGAGGAGATATTCTTTGAAGGGACAGGTATTCTCATCTTTCACAAAAAAAGGCTCCCTCTGCCCTAGTACAGAGTCAAGAGAATGCTGGAGCAAGTCCTGGCTCTCTGCTCCCTGGAGCTGTTTTCTGCTGGGAGTGGTTTCTCTGTCCCCATGTCACTGCCCTGACAGTGCTCCCAGCCCCCACCCCACCCTCTGTGTGCTCAGCTCTGCCCTGCAGACCCCACCTGGCAATCGGGCACTGCCCAGGCTCCTTCCCTACTTCCAGATACAAAGGAGAAGAGCAGGCAAAACCAGAACCCTCAAAGGTGATGCTGGTGTGTCTGTAAGTAGAGGAGTAGGTGAAGGCACTTCATAAAGTCTCTGGCAAATGTGTTGATCCCTCAGTTTAACAGTTCAGGAGTCTCAGTGACATATTAAAATTTCACTGCCCCTTTCTACGTTTTCTTAGAAGAAACATGAGATCATAGAGCCTACAAAGGTTCACAGTATTAATGTGGCCCCTGCTTTGAACTTCCTCTTGAAATGCCAATGTCCTAGAGGTGATCTGGAGCTTTGAGCATCCCCGATCCACGCATCAGCAGCACTCTCTGGAGAGCAGAAGGAGCCTGCCCTGGCGGGGGTCTCTCCTTCCCCCCACAGCTTCTCCCCACAGCGCTGTGGGGAGCTCCCGGGCAGGCTGAGTGCTGACCCTGGCAGGCGGCAGAGTCCCTGCCCCAGCACACAGCCTCCTGGGGTGCAGGGACCCTGCTGGGAAGGACAGCCCTGGGCACCCCTGCCTGCACACCCGGCTGCACACCCCTGCAGCCGGCCCCGCCAGAAGGCAGCCCTCATGCCCTGGCCCTCGCAGGGGGCACCAGGGAAGCCCTGCTTGGGAGCAGCTACTCCTCCTCCTCCTCCTCCTCCTCTAGGCAGGAGGCAGATTCCTGGCGGCTCTGCTGCCTTCCCCAGATCCCTCCCCGAGCTGCAGCTGCATTGCCCTGCACCCCCAGACTTACTGTGGCCAGGGCCCTGACGCTTTCTCCTCCTCGGAGCTCTCAGCAGCCTCCCAGCCCAGGCTGCCTTGAAGCTGTGTGTGCCTCGCTGCTCTGCCCTGGGTGCCTGCAGGCAGTGCCCCCAGCCCTGCTGCGCTTTGCAGAGGAGCTGCTCCTGGGCAGAGCTGTCTCTCTGCAGCGCTGCCCACTTGCCAGGAGCTCCCTCCGGCCCAGGAGCCCGGCCCAGCTCAGCACCACAGCAACAGCCCAAGGTGCCACTTGCTGTGGCCCCTCTGGGCTCCCTCCAGCTGTCCCTGGGGCTCCAGGGAACCTGCTGTGACACAGCCTGATGCAATCACTGATAATCCCTCCTTCATCTGGGAGAGGCACTACTTTCCAGCACTGCCATTTCTCCTTAAAAATTACAATTTGGGTGATATAATCAGTCTTTACTGTCCTGTCATTACATAGGACACCCAGGCTCTTATTGGGAGGCACCTGTAGCTGAGCTCCTTTTGTCATCTCAGGTCATGATAGAGATGGATATCATGAGTGAGCTGTTCAGACACAGTTAGAGACATCTGAGGGTCAGGAGGTGTTCCAAGAAATGTGCAGAAGACTGCAAGCTCTTATGGAGCAGTGCTGAGAGTCAGGACAGCATCTGGGTTCATCTTCTTGGACTTTGAAGGGGAACATCTTTGGCCAACAGCAATGACAGCAGATGCCCACATTTAGTACAAGTGACTCTGCCACTGTCTGTTTTGTTCTGGGCAGCCTGTGCAAGGATTCCTCTGAGCAAATGGAGTCATGTACATTTGGGAGAGCTCAGTTTCTCTCTGTCTTTTCCATCAGCTGAATTTACTTGATCCCCACAACAGTGGTCTCATGAACACCTCCAAATTGCTTCACCAATCTTAGGACATTTATGCTGTTTAATGACAAACAGGGGCTTCCAGTGTTACGTGAGGTGCCAAGACTCTCGCACACAGCTCCATGGGGTTGGCTGGGACAGCACTGGTACTATACATGCAAGCAATCTCCCTCCAGATCGGGGCTGTGACAGACCCCCGCACAGCACCTGCAGACAGATTCGGGGCTGCTGTGCAAGACACTGACTGCCACCACTGCAGTGTGGCAAGGTCTGTAGAGGGTTTTGTACAAGACTGGCTAGAAAAGAAGGGACATAGCGCATCCAACTTGTTAGAGTTAGAAGACATTTAGGGCAAAGGCAGCCTCAAGGACAGAGTGCCCTTGAGAACAAGGAAGCCCTGTAAAAATGTGCAAAACAGGATGCGAATAAGGAACTAAAGTTGATGTTTAACCGCAGGAATGAAGAAGTGCATAACAAAGACGTAACTAGCTAACTGGCCAATGATGAGCTATAATTTTGCAATATGTATGAGCTTATTAACCATTGTATTTAACCACGTTGATAGCGGACAATAAACGAGACTTGCTGATGACCACCTGGTGTCTGCGTCTCCCTTCTCCGACAAAGGTCTGTCCCTTCTCTATCCAGGAGATGGAGAGCAGTCCAGGAACAAAAGGCACATCAATCCGCAGTCTCCACACAAGTGTTTATCTTCTCAGACTGTTGGGTTTTATCTCCAACAAACAGTACCCAACCCCTTGAAGATGCAGTCAAGGAAATGACCAACAATTTTCACAATGGGCCTGTCAGCAGAACCTAGTTGTTCATGGAGATCACCTCCACATCCAATGATGTCCCTCCCTAGCAGAGAAGACAGCAGTAAAATAAACCTGAATCTACCCAGGACTGCACTTCACTGTCCTATTTCTATCACATGTAGATGGCGAGAGAGATGAGATATTTCATGTCCTCTTTGCCTCATCTTTCTCTAAGTTCTCCTAAGCCATTGTACCTCAGGGCAGGCATCTGGAGGAAAACAGCCGAAGGTGGATAGGAATGAAATCAGGGGCTACTTGAGCAGACTCAAATGTCACCTGTCCAAAAGAATCAGATTTATCAATCTGTCTATACATAGGGGAGAGAAAGTGTCATCAGGTTGCTGGTCCTTGTCCATGGCCTATGAAAATATTTAAGGGAATGTAGAGAACAATGTCAAAGTTGTGAAAATGAACTCCCCTTACACACTGATTGCACCAAAGACTTTTCTGCAAATGGTTAAACTTTTGGCTAATATCTTCACTCCAGAGTTGATGCAGTTGATCACAAAGTGGTGGTCACCACCTCCAAGATACATGAGGGTACATGAAACCCTGACATGGGACAGGGAAATATGACCCTGGGCTGAAGGGAGACTTTCTGGAGGGGGAGCTTGTGGACATGCAGGGTGAACCAAAGCATCTCAGTCGAGACAACTCATTTCTCTTCCTTGAGTAGAAGAGGAAGCCTGGACAATTGCACCCGAGCTGTCGCGTGTTGGACGAGAAAGAGAAATGAGTGGATCTAGATGTTGCAGAGCCTACCTGAAGATGCACCTGTAACCCAGATAAACTTGGATGAGTGCAGATTTGGCTGTGCAAAAGAGGGTGATTCATTTCTTTTGATTCTTTTCTTCCCTCTGTGAATCGAGGGAGCTCATGACTTGAAGGTGTGAGTAGATGGGAGTGAAAATGGACAGAGTCTGGGTCAGGGAGTGCTCTGGGAGTTCTTGGGATCTCTGCTTGACAGAAAATGTGATTTTCTTTGGTGTAAGGCCATCTCTGCTATGGAAATTGGACTGCAGACAAGGGAAGTTGGGCTTCATATACAGCAGAGATGTGTGTTTTATGTTTTATTAAACTCTGCCTGCATTTGGTTTTTCTTTTTTGGCAATTAAGAAACATCCTTCTGTGTCTGCGTATAGCTTGATTCCCAAGTATGGCAGGTGGGAGTTGGTGTCTATGTGCTGAAACGTGCAGCTACAGCCTGTCGTGGAGAAAGCTCAGATTGGAAGAAAGGTGCTGTAAGTCCCAGGGGACTGGTGAGAGACATGTGGCGTTGGAGGTAGGAACAAACGTTGTCCAGAGAGTGTCTGACATACAGGGTCTTGACTTCCCCCTATATTCAGACTCGATAGGGAGAAGTTCAGGATCAGTATCAATTGGAGTTGGGTGATGTCTCTTAGTGTGTAAGCACAAAAGTGAGGACTAATTGAAAAAGAAGATATTGTTTCCTATTGACATTTATTATGGAAAGATTTACACTATGACTACACTCCTGAAACCACCCAAATTCACCAAATGGGAACTGAGGAATTCTGTTATACCCAGAGACTTGACTTGACCAGCCGTTTTTCATGTTACTGAGCCCTCTGGTGCGAAGTTGCTGAACTGCAGATCCTGGAAAGGGATTGATGTGGCCTCTAGAGAAGTCGGAGTCAGCAGGAACCCTCCAAGTTCCTGAGGGTGTCAGTGATGGCCACCGAGGTCCATCACTGGATTGCCCATGGAGGGAATGAGGAGACAAGGTTCCTGTCCCTGGGGGTGGTGAAGCAGGAAGGCAGAGGCACTGCTGCCAGGCTGAAAATCAAATGTTCAGGTGACTGTGAAAGCCCTTGATGTGTTTCCTCACGCAGGATGTTCAAGCCCTGACCCCTATAGCCTGGGAATGGGGATCCTTCCCCTCAGGGGATGCTGAGGAATCTTCACACAGACACCTCACATCTTCTTCATGTCTTTCACACACACACTGTCACACATAACCCCACTCCCTTGGACTAGGAGGTTTGTGCATCCTCCAGGCTCCTGGATGTTTCCTGAGGCCCATCCAAGTGTGGGGAGTGAAGGAAGGAAAGAGAGGTGTCTCAGCCTCCCCATCAGCCCCAGGGCTGAGGGCCAGCCATGGCATGAGGAGGCGGAGGCCAGTGTCTCCCTGTGTCCCTTGCTCCAGTCTCCCAGGCATCTTTACTGTCCCCTGCCAGCAAGCCCCTCTGTGCCAGCCCCTCTCCCAGGAAAAGACTCCTGGACCAGGGCCTCCTCAAACTTCTCCACTTGCCCCAACAATAGAGAAACTTGTCCTGAGCTGGTGCATTCAGAAATAGATTTCTCCTGAGAGGAACGGATGCTAAAGAACATGCAAAAAGATATGAAGAAATTGAAGGCGTAATTTCCCAAAATAAGAGAGCAGACTTAATCACAAATGAGGATGCTCTTCTGGTCCACTGACACAGACACTGTTTACAGATTAAATAACTGCAGTTAGGTATTGACCAGGTGCAAGATTTAGAAAGAGAACTACAAATTTTAGAAAATGAGCTAGAGAAGTTTGGAACAGCAGCTCAGTTTGTAAAAGGGGAACATATAATCACAAGCGTAAGTCAAAATAAATGCAAAGCCAAAACACACCACATCCAGGGTGGTTCTGTCCTGCCATGGGAAAGGGGAGAGAGAAAGGCCAGGAAAGGGGCTGGGTTTGGCTGTTGAACTTGGGCTGCAGCAGAGATGAGGAGTCAAGGGAGTGGGTGGGGAAAGATGGGCAAAGGCAACACCAATTGTGGTGCTGATTGTGAGACCACTACTGTTACAGTAGCCTGATTGGACAGCAGCTGGCCCCAGAAATTTGGGGCCACATGTGCATCACAAAACTACTCATCCCAGCAGAGACAAGCTAGGGACAGAGAGGACAGGGAGAGACAGACCAAGGGCAGGTGGCAGGAATGGTGATGATGATGAGGTGGCTTCCACTGCAGCAGCCTGACTGGCCCTCAGGAGACATGCTGGCCAGCAGGCATTCTGAGGTCATCCAGTGCATCTGAGAAGGCACCCAACAGAAATGACCTCCTTGGGGAGGGGAGGGCTGAGGCAGGTGGAAGAGGCCCACCTGCGTTCTGATTCTGGGGGCACCTCTGTTCTTGTGACCTGAGCAGCCATGGCAGACAGGAGGGCAGGCAGGGCTCATGGCCACCCTGCTCAGGACGAGGCCTGAGACTGCTGGAAAATCTTTTCCTTATCTCCAGGGTGAACATCCCCTGTTTCACCAAAACCTCCTCTTTCAGCCTCTTAACATGCTCCGTGGTGGAGAACCCCATTCTGTGTTCTTCAAGACCTCCTCATTGGTGTGGAGAGGCTGCAGGGAGGTGCCCCTCAGCCTTCCCTTCTCCAGGCTGCACAAGCCCAGCTCCCTCAGCCTCTCCTCACAGGCAAAGTTTTCCAGCTTGGCCTGTCTTGGGGGCCATTCATTGAACCCCCTCCAGCTTGACAACATCCTTCCTGTACTGGGGATCTGCAATCCGGACACAGTAACCTGGACAAGCCCCTCTCATGATCTCCTGGCCGTCCTGCTGGCCACAAAGGCCTGGGTGCAGCTGGCCTCCCTTGCTGCCAGGACACATGGCTGCCTCCTCTCCATCCCACCAAGACCTTTCCTTTTTTACTATATTTTCCATCTGTTGGTTTGCAATGAAGGTAAATTCTGCTGTGCCCGTGTGCAGCCAGGTCTCTGAGGAAAGCCAGTGGGAGCTGGTGCAGTGGAGCTGTAACGTCCAGCTGCAGGCCTGAGTGGAGAAGTCTGATGGAAGGAGTTGTGCTGCAAGTGCCAGGGGGACGATGAGAGAAGTGGCAGGGCTGGGGAGGTGAGGAATCAGGCTGTCCATGCGGTGTCTGACCTTCAGGAGGAGCTGGCCCTACCCATCTTGACAGCACTAGGAGACCCTCTGCATCAAGATCAGAGGAGGCTGCAATCACTTCTTCTGTAAAAAGAAAAAGTAATACAGTAGACTTAAACCTAAGAAATACTTCTGTATTAAATGCTCAGTCAAATGTTCCCCTTTACATACACTCCAGAGACCTCTGCAGTTATCTGTCCAAGGCTTGATAAATGAAGAAAACAATTGGAGGAGACATGTTTTTTTACATTTGAATGAGCCCCATGGTGTCTGTGATGCTGAGACCATGAGCCTCAGACACCAAGAAGAGCCTGAGCGAAGGGCTGAAGAAGTCAACATCAGAAGCAACCCCTAAGGTTTCAAGGAGTGTTAATGGGTCCCAGTGAGGGCCATCAGCAACAAAGCCTCCCCAGGGGCTGGTTAGAGCAGGAAGTTGGAGGTGTCAATGAGAGGCAAACAAACACAATGTTAAGGTGGTTCTGGTGCTTACTGTACCTTAACGTGTTTAGGCCATAGGGCCAAAGCCTGACCCCCAGCCCCTGGGAAGGGAGATCCTGTCCCTCACACATTACCCAGGGCTCTTCCTGGGACAGTGTCATATGGGAATTTGCGGTGTCAAGGACAGGACTATAGTGACAAATATGGGTCTCTCTGGGGTGGGGCCGAGGGGCGTTAAGGTCCTGGTACCATAAGGTTACCGTTTGTCCAGGTAGGCCTTAGTTATGGAGGGAACGGCCAGAGGCAAGGGGGAAAACACCTTGGCTCTGCTGGGGGCTCTTAGCCTTGCCAGAGCCTTCAGTTGTCTTTCCCACAGGCTGTCCTCAGTGTCCCACACCTGCAGCTCTTTCCCTGCAGACTCTCAACATCAGCCTTTCTTCCCCACCTCGCTCTCACCTGAGCATCTCGCTTCCCTCACTGGTAGAGAATATGATAGACGAGGCTATTTCAGTTGGGAGGGACCTGCAACCATCATCTAGTCCAACTGCCCGACCCATTCAGGGCTGACCAAGTTACAGCATGGTATGAACGGCATTGGCTAAATGTCTCTTAAACACTGACCACCCTGGGGCATCGACCACCTCTCTGGGAAGCCTGTTCCAGTGTTTGTCCACCCACTCGGTAAAACAAATGCTTCCTCATGTCCAGTCTAAATCTCCCCTGGCACAGCGTTGAACCGTTCCCACATGTCCTATCACTGGATACCAGGGAGAAGAGATCAGCACCTCCCACTCCGTGTCCCCCCCTCAGGAAGCTGCAGAGAGCAATGAGGTCACTCCTCAGCCTCCTCCTCTCCAAACCAGACAAACCCAAACTCCTCAGTCACTCCTCATAGCACATTCCTTCCAGCCCTGTCACCGGCTTTGTTGCCCTCCTCTGGATGCATTCGAGGACCTTCACATCCTTCTCAAACTGTGCGGCACAGAACTGCACACAGTATCGAAGGTGAGGCCGCACCGATGCTGAGTATCTATCCATCCTCCTGGTTGTTCCTTGAAACACAAAGCTGTGGGCTCTTCCAGACTCCCTCTGGGTGACTTGCTTCAGCACAGCACTGCCCTTGGGGTGACATTTCTTTCTCTTTGTCTCCATTCTCTACCTCCCCTGCTGTACTTTTTTCTGTTATATCTTTCTCATGCTGTTTTCTGACATGTGGAAACACACTTTACAACTCACAGAGTTATAAAGCAGGTATTGTTTATTGCAGTGATGGGAACAAGGGCGATCTCTCCTCCAAGCTTGTACACCGTATCATGAAGCAGGCATCATTTATGATACAGAAACATGCATATTCATTAGTATAGGCTGGGTTATTACAATTAGTTCTAAGAATAGGTGTGATTATTGTAATTATTTCCGGGAATTCATTATCCTAAGTCTCCTCCTCTTGCCACATGCGTACTGCCATCCGGTGGTCGTGGGCCGGGGTCTTTTGGAGGAAGGCTCGTGGTCTTCTTCACCATGTACTCTAAATCTTTGTCCCAGAATGCTGAGTTACCTCAGCCAGTAACTGCAGAACTGGCT